ATATAAACTGATTTTTTCTTATATACGTCATAGCGAAATACAAACGATACAATAATACAGGCATATGTCAGAAACGAACAAAATGTTTTTTGTCAAGCGTACCTGGTTTTTATATCTTTGTAATCAACACGAATGTATTTATTTATATGCCTTTTCACTATCGATAGAGATGCACTACAAACATAAATACATACATATATATATATATATTAGCTTTAAATTTTTAATTTAGATTTTCGATAAACGAGCAAATTGCCAATTAGATTTCTGTTATCATGACAGAAGAAAATCAAATACCATCGTCACCAATAATGATCAATAAATTTAATAAACAAAATTCTGTTGACGACGTTTTCACTTCCGATGATATTTGTGCGTCACCGATAATGATCAATCAAGCTAATAAACTTGCTATTAGACAGGATTCCATTGACCACGAGCTTTCTCCAGATGATATTAGTACTATGTTCGATGAATTTCTCGTTGAATTCGAACGAATGGAGAAAAGTGGTAATGCAACAACCACTGTATTTCTCGATGCTGTCGAACAAATAGCAGATGCTGTTCTAGGAATAATCCCACATAAATTACTTCATCCAAAGGTGCTTCAACATCCACTTACGGAATTTTTACATCAGATGCTTGTTGATATAATAGCTAATTGGAGATCATCTAATCAACGTCTAAATATTCAAGAAACAGATATATTTCTTAAGATTGTACTTGTTTTTGTACATGTTGCTGAAGCAGCACCTGCACCAAGTGCTGAACAAACGCGAAAATATATACGAGATATGTTAGCAACGAAAAGATTTTTGTTCTTAGTAGGGGAGCAAGTTGATGATATTGTTCTCAATAAACCAGATCTTAACGATGATCCAAATATATGTACATTGGGCATACTAACTATAAAATTATTACAAGGAGCTCCATTCTACTTTAGTATAGAAAAAAATCAACGTTTAATTGATGATTGTAAGTTTTTCTTTAGATATATTCATAAGATAATAATTACTAAACATTTATTTAATTTAGTGGTGATGAATTCTCTTGATTCCTATGATTTTATTCAAGCATTACGTCAATTACAACATGATCAACCACTTACTGATGTAGATCGTTTTCTTTTATATACTTGTTGGGAGTATGTACCATTCGCATCAGCAACTGCACTAACTTTACCTAACACGATGAAATTAATTAAAGTAGTTCAACATGTTTATGACCAACTTCTAACTCAATTAGAACAAGCTATGGAAAAACCACCACCAATGACCACGAAATCTTTAGCTTATATATTCGAACGGTATACTCAACTTCTCAATATTCCTAATTTTCATTCTTTTGATAAAAAAGCACAATATTTTGTCGATCGTTTAACTAAAATTTTAAAAGAACAAGTGTTAGCTAATCCACAAGATCAAGAATTAATTAATGTTACACTAGAAGCATTTCATAATCTATCCAAAAATACTGATATTCGTACAATCATGAAAAATCGTCAATTAACTTCACTCTTCCACAACTTTACATCTACTCAAAATATTGAAGAACGAAAATTAGCATTTAGTATTCTTGCAGAAATTATGGATGAAAAAGAAATAAATGAAAAACCAAATGAAATTACTAGTGTATTTATTGATCAACTCAAACAACTCAATCCAAATGAATACAATGCAAATATGGATAGTACTCTTTCAAGTCTCCAAGGTATCATTTTCTTTTTGATAACAAAAAAAGTATTGATCATATAAATTATTCTCATTCTATAGCATTAATGCAACATGAAGAAATCAAAAATCAATTTATTCAACAAAATGGTGCACAAGTATTAGTTTCTTTTATTCGTGATGGTGATCCAAACAAACAATCTGAAACACAGCTAGAGGATGCTCTTAAAATTCTTTGGTCAACTACATTCAATAATCCTCATATGGTAAACACACTGCAACAAGATGCAAAACTAATGACACGAGTTACTGAAATCTATAATAATGCAAAAGAAAAAGAAAATGTTACATTAGAAAAAGCAGCTGAAGGTTTGATTTGGAAGGTTGAAAAAGAAGAAAAATTTAAAGAAGAACAAGCAGCTGAAGTTGAACGAAAAAAAGAAGAGAAAAAGAAAAAAGCAAAAGAAAGTGGTGTAGTAGAGGAGGAAGAGGAAGAAGAAGAAGAACAATATGATATGATGTTATCATATTCATGGGCTGATATGGACTTAGCTCATCGTATTTTTCATCATTTGACTGAAAAACTAGGTTATAAAATATGGCTTGATCAAGAACAAATGCATGGATCGACAATTCAGGCAATGGTATGAAATAATAAATTTTATAATTACATGTTTATATAAACATTAGTATACTTTAGGCAAATGCAGTTGATAATGCTCAATTCATCCTTATGTGTATGTCAGACACATATAAACGAAGTGCAAATTGTCAATCAGAAGCTGAATATGCACATAATCGTAAAAAACATATTGTACCATGTAAAATGAAAAAAGATTATAACCCTGATGGATGGTTAGGTTTTATATTGGGTACACGATTGTATATTGATTTTGGAACATATGAATTTGAAAAAGCAATTGAATTACTTGATAATGAGATTCAATTACAGAAGAAAAAACGTAAAGCAGCAAAAGAAGTAGCAAGGTAATCAAAAATAAACAACATGTATTTGTATTAATTGTGTATGCTTCTTTCAGAGTTGAAAGAAAAGCTATTGCAGAGGAAAACGGTTCAAAAAATGAAAGAAAAGTATCACAAGCTCCACCTGAAATAAAACTGAAAAGAAGTTTGGGAAATGTATCAGATTGGGATGAAGTGAATGTTCGAGATTTCTTATTAAAAGAAAATCTTTTATCGATGATACCACTTTGTAATGGAATTAATGGCAAAGAATTAAATGATTTGTATGCAATGTGCAAATCAAATTCAGCATCAATGTATCGTTCATTAAAATTTGAACTTCTTCATGGACATCATAGAATATTACCAATCTCTACATTTCTTCGTTTTATGAGTCGTATGCGTTCCGCTTGTGATAATGGATTATCATCTAATACACCGACAGTAACCAAGATTAAAGAGGATCATATTCATGAAGATCCTATTCAAGAAGATCCTACTTCGGAGGAAGACTAAACTTATTTTCAAATGAGATTACTCATTTAAACATATTTTTTTTAAGTATTATTTTAATTTTTAATTAAAAAATTAATTGAACTAGGATGGATGATACACTTCATGTATCATATCTTTTTTAAATAGTGAAATAAAGTGTGTATTGACTATGAGTAAACGTTTTGTATTCTTCTGCTTGATAATGTCAGGCACGCTATTATTATCAAGTTTTTTATTATTATATGCATATTTTTATGAGATGCAACACAACAAGTAATCGATCTTCGTTTGATAAAGTGGTAAAACTGACAGTTTATTTTTTTGTCACTAATTAGTAAAAGAAAATAATGACAGGTTACCTTTAGCAAAACCGTCAAACAATGAAAAAGTTTGTCGTATATCCTATACGAATATTCAAATACGAGTAATATATTTGCATAGTTGCCCAATACATTTATTTTACATATGTATACAAACTACGCAAAAAAACATGAGAAAGGCTATTTTTAATACACATACAATGACAGAAAAAAATTGATACAAAAAATTTAAACAAGACAATATTGATCTGACAATGTTATTTTTTGTTTTATTTTATTCATCAGTATTATTAATGATGACTATCCGTTGTGCATAAACGTTTTGAACCATCATTTTGATGTTCATGATTTATAACTGTTGTATTTGTTAATTTCCTTTTATTAATCGACGACTGTAAAGCTTCTATTGATGACGAGTCATCATCATTGACGACATCGATAATTGCATCACTGTCATCCGGTGTCATAACTGTATGATTATTGTTATTTAATTTATTCTGATTACCATTGTTAAACATAGCATCCATGGCATCTCGAAGACATATATTAACATCTGGCATAACAGATAGATTTGTTCGAGCCTTAAATAAATATAAATTTTATTAAATAGAATTAAGACAAAATATTCTTAGACTATATGTGAAGTTATTGTCAAACACATCTATTTTGATAATGAAAACATACCATTAGAATAACTGAAATTCTGTATATGTTATCTAAAACCGAAAAAAAAAATACAAATTATTTCATTCATATTGATTACTAATAACTACTAATCATCATTCTTTTTAAGCAAAAAAAAACACAAAATAAAATATTCTATTAATTTGTGGCTTGACATGATGTGAGTAAACTATGAAGTGATGTTGCAAATGCTTAAAAATAAAAAATAAAACAAAATTTATTATTTCATATATGAATAATAAAAATGAACAATTACCTGTGGGATTTCGATAAAACGAACAATTTTGTGAACATGCCATTGGATCAGCATCCCAAATAGTTGAATGACATGAACATAATGTTGGTACATTAATACCACGTTTCGAACAACGTTCTCGCAATGTTGTTTTCAATGCTCGAATGTACCTGGAGAAAATCAAAATGAATCAGTGTATGCTAAATCAAAGGCGAATAAGGGATCTCTTAGACTCTGAATCAAATGTTATACTAAATATTTTAATGTACCGTTCGATTTCACGTCGTTTTTGTTCATGTATACGTTGTTTTCTAATATGAGCTAATTGTTTTGGATCAACACTATTTACATCGACGACAG